GACATTGTCCGCTCAGGGTCAAATCAGATGGACCAGCTGCAAAAATTAGATATAAAATTCGATTGGAAATAACAGATAAGAGAACCCAGGTGCAAAAATTCTGCTCTGGAATAACATCCACCCACGTTCCCTTCAGTTCTAGATGCAGGATAATGCAGGATTCTTTAGTTATTGTTGTTCCATCTCATTTTTTAGTGTTATCAGGGCGTTGAAATCTCGTGCCCAGGAGTTGCCGGAAGCTGACCGGATTTTGCTAGACGAAGACCCGCTTAAATTTTCGATTCGCTCTGATCACGAGTTTTTAAAAAAATGGCTCCTGTAATTAGGTGGTGAAGTGGCAAGGTGAGGTTTGGGAACTGCAAAACTAAAGCGGTACTTCTAGTTCTGCAAAACAAGTATTTGCACTTGATCTTAGAAAACTTGCGTTATTAATCTGTAAAATGTATCAGGGCATTATTTTCTATTTTTCTTAGACGCTTTTATTAGAATTTCCGGAATCTGTAACTTCATTAACTCATATCGGAGAAATGTTTTCGATATTTTATGCTAACAAGTAGGGATTTTTCTGGTTGCATGTGTTCTGTTATAGAATTCTTAAAACCAACAGAAATGAAACCTAATAACATTAACCATAACCCTTAAATGCATAAATTTTTATTTTTATTTTTCAAAAATACATTAATTTTTGACAAAAATTTAAGTCAAAAACACATTTGAATTGACATCAAATAAAATAGGAAAAATACTAAAAAAACTCTAAACTAAGTTTTTATTCCAATATTTGAAAAAATGTTAACTTTTACGGAAAAAAAAATATGATAGGCAAATGTGTAATAACAATTTGATGTAATAATACATACCTTATAAACTTTTTCAAACAATTTTAAAAGGTACTATTCGGTTTCGAGGGCCGTAAAAAATCGCCAAACTATTGTTGATGCCAATGCTGCCAAAAATAATTGCGGCAACCCTAATAATTGTGGCAAGAAAGGAAGTATAATAGTAAATAACTATCTAAGATTGATGTTTTAATGTAGATGAAAGGTTAATTTCAACAATACTTTTTTATATAATTTATATGAAAAAGGCTAAACATGACTGAATGGAAGCATAAGAGTAAATAACATTATTATAATTTATATAAAAATTGCTAAACATAACTGAATGGATGCCTGCATCGCTATTTCGCTACCGACTTATCGCTAAAGCATAATTTCATCTCGTTGGTTGTTCAAACGTAATTTTCTATAATGAATGATGCCTTTTCTTTGAAATATTCAGAATCGGAATTCAGAAGTGCAGAATCGCTCACTTATTTGTTTGCCGTTTTTTACAAGAGTAAAAACAATCGGATTTTTGTCAATTTTATTTTACTTTTAATGAAAATAGTCTTTTTTAAATGAAATAGGTACTTTTAAATGAAAATAGGAAAATAGATAAAGTCAAGGGGGTGCGCATGCCATTTTTGTGCAATTCTGGGATTTTTTTTTTTAAGTGAAAATAGGTCGATGTGCACAGGGATACCGAGTATGTACAATTCTTAAAAACGCGTCAAGCAGTGAGTGATTCTGCACTTTACCCAAAATTCTATTGCCGACTTTTCATCACGGGCAATTCTCAAATTGTTAAATCCATAGGATATCAAAAAAGGATTTAAAAATTAAACTATTATTTCAATGGCGTCTTAAGAAATATAGAACTATATAAACTTATGCAACTGAAACCAGCGCGTACGCTAGATTTGGCGCGCTATTTAATGGGCGCGTTTGCTAGATTTGGTGCTTTTGCGCATACATTTTAGCTGCAATTTTTTTACGGCCCTCAAAACAGAAGAGTACCTTTTAAAACTTTGAATCAATTAAAATAATAGCAAACACAAAATTAAAAAAATTCGTAAACACATATGATGTCCACACCCTACACATCAACTCACAATTTATTACCGTTACACCGTTAGTGGTGCCACCACACTGAAACTTTCAAAACTATGTGCGTACGCAGTATATATCCAATTGGTTACACTATGCAGTAAGCTAAAATTTGTGTTTTGTTTTGATTTATATGATTAAATATGAGTATGCTTCCAAATGGCAACTACATGCATTTAAGGGTTAAGGAAACATTTGAGTAGAAGTTGAGTGCTCGAGTAACATATTTACTAATACATACTTTGAGAAAAACATTTTACATCGATAATTAAGCAAAAGACTCATTGGTTTTAAAAATTAAATTTATTAATATTTATTTCGGGTTGGCCAAATATTTTTGTATTCTCAGGGCTTTGATTTTCAAGAATACAAAGAAAATTAGAAGTAAGAATTAAAAATAAAATCTACGGCAGGGAAGAAAAATAAATTATTATGTAAAAGAGCACGAGAATGATTTTGAATAAGTATCTTTCAATTATTATGTAAACTCATTAAGTTACTTTGAAGCAGGAGACAGGAAAAATGTGCAATGCTCTCGCCTTGTCTCGTGCCTTGTCCTCTTGAATACGCGACGAGTGTTCTTAGATACGACAGTAAATGTACACCATTTTGTTCTTTCATCAACTTCTTTCTACCTAAATAATATCTCAAGAATTTAAACACAACCAAACAAGTTTATTCTACCAAAATAATAACATTTTACATTCGTTGCCACTCAAGCAAAACTAAAAAGAAAATTAATATTACACTGGTTGAATATAGATGAACAATGCTATTAGGAGATAGTATTTTATACTTATTTATTTCCTAACATAAACATGAAGCATAGAACAAGCAAATAACATTTATGAATACAAAAAAACGTAAGTGATGCCATTCACAAAAAGGGTAATATTGTTTTTAATAGTTCGCTGGCTTTGCCGCAACATCCTCCCCACCCTGGTCAACCTCCAGGGGGATGACCAGCTGCACAGGTCGGGTAACGGTATGTCCATTGGTGCGCAGAACACAAGTACAGACTTTTTTGTAGCGGCCAAGGATTAGCTCCTCAACACGGGCCTTTTTCCAGGTGTGGCGAGGTCTAACATCTTCTTGTAGTAGGACAATGTCCTCATTCCGCATTTTATTTGTTTCAGATGGATTCCTCACTTGATGAAATGTACGCAAGTCCATCAAATATTCCTTTTGCCATCTTTTCCAAAAGGAGTCCATCAAATGTTGACGATTCTTCCACATATGATTTAAATTTGTTTCAGGATTTGTGAGGCTGGAAGGAAAAGTAGTTAATTTCTTTCCTATGAGGAAGTGCTAGGATATTAAAGCTTCCTCAGAGTCTTCTTTTATTCCGTATTCGTGGACAATCGGTCTATTGTTAAGAGCGGCTTCAATATCACATAATACAGTGATCAAACCAGCGTCATCCAAAAGAGCCTTACCTAATGTTTTCCGAAGGCATCGCTTAACTGAGCCTATCATTCTTTCCCAATAGAGCAAGCAAATAACATTTATGAATACAAAAACGTAAGGGATGCCACTCACAAAAAGGGTAATGTTATTTTTAATAGTTCGCTGGCTTTGCCGCAACAAATGCTGCACTTTACATACTCCCACATTTTGATAAAAGGATTTTTATCAAAACAAATATTGAATTAAACTAAAATTTAGCCTAAAAGTTCATTTTGAAGTTCACTTAAAAGTCTATTTTGAAGTTCACTTAAAAGTCTACAATTCGCATAAACGTATATTTTAAAGTTCACTTAAAAGTCTATTTTAATGTTCAAAGTCCTTGAATCTAAAGATACTTTTATAGCTCGACCACTGAATAATCTAATATAATCTATAGCATTCATCCAAATATTCATCAAACGTTTTGCCATCTGGATGAAAAACCAGTTTAGGTTTAGAAATTACTTTATCAAACAAGGATTTCTTTCTAACACCTTTATCCTTCCTGCGTGAGTTCACTCAGTCATTTGTTTCTTAACCTGTGATTTAGAATAAATTTTGGAATTCGTAATCTCAACATCTGATGATTCAGAAACACTTTCTTCAAATTGTTCTTTACCATACTCATCACTTTTACTTGATCGAATCCAATGGTCTCAATCTTCATTATCGAGTTCCTCATCATATAGAAATTTTAGACATTGTTCTTCTTGAATAGCATAATCATCATCAAAAGCTCTTTCGTTTCCTGGTCAAGTTTTTCAGGTTCAAAATCACTTTCAATATCACCTTTGTTAAGGTTCAATTCATTTTGACCAGGCACTTCTTTCAACTTTAAAAATTTGTTTTCAAGTTCTTTTCTCATTAAATCTTTCAAATGTTTTAGAACTTCTCTTTTCTGCTCTTTCTTCATTTTTTCCCCTTTTAACGTATTCTTCATGCTTCTTCTTTCTTTTCTTATCAACACGTCTGAGAGAATCTTCAATCATCCTTGGACATCGTTTAATGAATTTTGAATCCGGCTCTTCAAATCGGGAAATATACTTACGTTCAAGCAATTCTTGCCTTTTTCATATCTTTTTCATCATCACTTGACACTGCAACAACTGTTTCTTCATAAGTCGGAATCTCACCATTTTTATATTTTTCTTTACACTTCGTATCTAAAATAAAATCTTTTAAAAATTTCTTATTCTCCACCAGGTTTGGATCATTCCTAAACTTTTTCAATAACGGCGTTGCAAAACTTAAAAGTTACTATTCTGCTGACATTTAAAAATCACATTTTAGTGCTTTCATTGCCGCCTAAAAAATTCGCCAAATTTTGAAGGCCAGAATAGTTTGGCGCTAACTTACCCCGCTTATGGAATTTTAGCCGAAGTCATAAAAAATATTTAATACACGGAATTTATGCATAATAAAAAACATTATTTTTTAAATAAAATGACAACAAAGTATCGGTTACGATAAATAACTTATCCAGCAATGAGTTTACCATAAGTCGTATCGCTCGAAAAAAAAAAAAAAAAAAAAAAAAAAAAAGCCAAAAAATCGCTAAAATCCGTGCAACCGTCTACCAAAGTAGCACCTAATTGAGTGATACTAAGCCTTGATTTGGTAGCATTTTTAACAACCCTTAAAAGTAAATAGTTCACGAACATAGTATTCCACTAACAATTCCTCACTGCCAAATCTTGCTTTAAGGCTTTCAATCGATTTTGAGTAATTTTCTGCCGTAGGTGGATAGCTATCGATAATCTCTTTCGCTCTTGTATCTGACGACATACATTGTATTAAATATTGGAATTTGTCTTCCAATTCCATTTCTTCATGATCGTCAATTCGTTTAAACTGACTCCAGAAACATAACCATTCTTTAACTTCACCGCTAAATTTCATTAGTTCAAGTTTGGGAAGTTTTATTTTTGATTTCTCATTACTTAAAATCTTCCTGTTTGGCTGTGACTTACTTTCTATAAAAGAATTAACGCAAACTATAGCTTTATCAAATTTGATTTTATATTCTTCTACAGATTCGAATTCATCAGAATAACTTTTACCATTATCGTTTGCACTTAAAGCAAGTTTTAAAATTTCGTTATCAAGAGTCATTAAACTAGCACTAATGCATTCTAAAGTAGCTAATTTAATCTTAACACCACTTATTTCTATATTTTCATCATCAAACAGAGACACTAAACTTTTATATTTCTTAGTAAACGATGTTCGCAACGGAGATCGCTTCTTAACAAGATGCTCCATTGCAAACCAAAACCAAAATTCAATTAATTATTTCTTACATAAAGTACTCACCTCTTATGTTTAATCACGTACTGAGGGTCAATGTTAGATACGACAGTAAATGTACACCATTTTGTCCATTCATCAAGTTATTTCTACCTAAATAATATCTCAAAAATTTAAACACAACCAAACAAGTTTATTATATCAAAATAATAACATTTTACAGCTGTTGCCACTCAAGCAAAACTAAAAAGGAAATTAATATTACACTGGTTGAATGTAGATGAACAATGCTATACTTTACAAGTGTGCTACCCGTAAACCACAAAGGCAAGCTGATTAGGAGGAAGAAATTTCTTTTGTCGACTGGGAATTAGGAGACCTAATCGCCAAATCTTGGTGGTGACGAATTATTGACCACCACTTCACCACCTTTTATCTCGGTAGGCCACTCAAGAGTCATTAGGTTACTTTGAAGCGGAAGACAGGAAAAATGCCCAATGCCCTTGCCAGGGATTTGAACCTTGACCTCTCCAATATGCGCCGAGTGTGCTACTGTTACACCCTGAAGGTATGCTGGAAGGAAAGGGAAAATAATATGTCTCTATCTAAACTAAATATGTCTCTATCATCCAATGGCTAGTATCATGGAGGTAGGAAGTAAGAAGGAGTCACCCTAAACAAGTTTCTCCGTACCCTGCTCTGAAGCACCGGCGATCCCTACGTGGTGACCAAAACATTGGGTCATTTATCATTGAGTTCTATGGGATTTGACGCGTTCGGGTGTAAATATTTTGTAATTACGTCGCAAATATACATATAAATGTATATATTTTCTTTTTCTACAACGCTTCAGAGTCCTAAGTATGTGAAAACAACATATTTTTAAACAACATTTCATTCTGAACGGAATTAAATGCTATACTTTTCACAGGACAGTTTTCTCAGAATGGTTTAATTTGAATGAAATATTTTCACAAGTTTTCGTTAATTACATTAGAAAAAAAAATAAGGTAATTCGATTTTATTCGGTTAAGGTACAAAAATTAAGATCAAAGTTTATTGTATTATTAATATTAAAATTATGCATTATTTCTTTTCTATTTATAGAGCTTCTTCCTAAAATACTTTCTTAAATATGACATGATTTTTTGGCTTCTTTTAAATCGAAAAATGTAAGTCAATTTATAATTAATGCTCTATTCGGTTCATTTTAAATTAGAGAATTATTAGGAATTAGCGAAATACTTTAAATAAGTATTTCGCTAATTCCTAATAATTAAATAGGTATTAAATAGTATTTGACTTTCTCTGAACATTCTGAAAGGGAATAAAACAAGTTTTTTTTTTTAAGTATTATTTAAAACTTGTAACTGAGTTATTATATAAAAAATGTAAAGGGAATAATTCTTTTAATTATACTTATCAGATTTTTTTTTTTTTACCCTTCATTTCAACACAATACATATTCCAAAAACTCATTTATTACGTTCTTAAGTGCGCATCTCATAGCATTTGCTTTACAATACCTTTTAACAGATTGCTTTCCAATACGAACAATTCTTGCTTAAATAGTTTTATAACGTATTTGTCAACAGGATTTCAATTTATGTTTACATATTCAATATTAAGGTTATTATATATTTAGATAACATTTATAATCATTATAAATTAGATACATTTAATCATTAGATTTCTTCACAGTACTTTTACAGTTGTTTATAAGTGAATAAATTCTTCATTTCAAATACGTTTATAAATAATTTAATGAATATTTAAGTATTTTGTCAAAGGCAGATACATGCTTTTTGCAAGCACATGCATAAATACCCATACATATTTCCTATTTATCATTTCCGGCATGTGCAAATTTTTAATTTCTGTGCATTCACTATATTTTTCGTGTAAAGTAATTTACACTAATTTAGCATACACCCGAAAGTTTTACATAAAAAATATATATGAATATAATTTGAATGAAAATTATAAGTATTATTTTTAATACCCACTCAAAGGTCAGTTTTTCTTCAAAATTCCTCCACGATGGCATCTCTCTCTTTAGGCAGTTAGCCCTTGCATGCGTTACTCTATTTAATAAAAACTTATCTGACCTATGTGCCTAATTACAAATATTTTAACATACATAATTTTATATTTACATTTAGCCATCAAGTTTCAAACTTTTCAAATCTTCTAGAAAATAAATTTTGGCAGATCTCTTTTAGCAATTTTCTTAAAATCTATATTTTTGTAGTGCAACAGCTTATAATTTTATAAACAAATTCATAATCAAAATCGCTGTTGTTAGTTATCGAAAAATAACCAAGATGTGATTTTTGCGTAAATGTCACTAAACTATACAAATTGCTATTATCCATCCCACTATGAATGTTTCTTTCATGCGAAAGTGTCCCTTTTTCGATTTCTATGGAACTGTCGTGTGTCGAAATACTATCAGAATCTTGTCAAGCGAGCTTCTGAATGTAAACAAAGAACAACCCCGTCTGGTGACCCAAGCTTCAAAGCAGTGCTTCACTTCTAGCGCGGAATGGCCCCTCCTCCCTTTCCTACCTCCATGGCTAGTATCTTTCTGTTCTTCGAATTTCATATTTTTATGAGTACATTATAATTGAAAACGTCTTCAGCTCTATTAAACTCCTTAATAATTTCTTTGTTAATGTGATATACTCCATTTATTTTCAACTTTTCACAGTTAATAAATATTTTATCATTAGCGCTCGTCTCCTTTTTCATTTTTTTTTTTTTTTTTAGCATCATATGTAAGTTTATTATATATTTGTAATCTTTGCTGCTTGTGAAACTAAAACAATTGAGTTTAAAGTATTCTTTTCATTTTCATCAAGTAATATTTCAGTACAATTCGGTAAGCATTAAGGAAAATTCCTATTTATATAGTTGTTAAAAATATAAGACGAATCTCTGTAACCATTAAGCCCCAGATACAGGTCACTGTAACAGTCTTTAATCAACCCAGAACTGGCTCTCTTTGATTTTTATATTTGTGCGAAACATATATTCTTAATCTTAATAACATTCCTAGTTGATATTTAAATTCCTTGAAATAACAGAAGAACGATTGAAAAGCTCATATAGGTTTCCATTTTGTGTGAATCCATTATTAACAATAATTTCTTTTAGGTTTAACATAATTTATACACGAGGAAATTTATATTACGAAGCACAAAGAAAATTCGTATCATGTGTGCAATACTTAATTAAAACTTTTTCAAATTTCAATTCAACAAAATTTTTTCGAATTTCAATTCTGAATATACTTTCAGATACTTTTGAAGAAGCATGGTAATTAGATTACAGAAATGAATTAACAGGTTCGTTACGTTTGTTAGATTATGGCAAAGCATTGGAGGCTATCTGCCTCAAAGGAAGGGTGCCTTAGTGGAGGAATATCCAAGGAAAATTGACTCGTATGTACGTTAGTATTAGTTCGCTCCGAGGTTCGAAGCCACGAACGGAGCTGGCTGCATGGGCGTTTTTCTGGTTTTCTCCATGTGTAACATGTTAACTCTAGCCAGTTCCCCTTAGACAGTCCCCCACGAAGGCATCCCTCCCTTCCGTGTAGTGCCTTATGGTGGAACACGTAAATAATAATGCACGTTACTATGGGAAAAACCACGAAAATGCCCATAGAGGTAGCCCGTTCGCCGGGATTCAAACCCTGGACAGAGCTACCAGTGTTCAGCTACTTTACCGCTCTGCAGTTGGTGAGCTGAATTAATAGAAAAGCTATATGCTTATACTTTGGGTATGTTACAATTCAGATTCTCTCATCCTCAAATTCGTGCAATTAGAAGATCTCATAAATAATGTTTAAAAAACTGAGAAGACGAAGAGACGTCATTATTTTCGGAAGCAAAATAACAGATATTATTATTAAATAATATGAAATTATTTCGCTTTCGAAAATGATGACAGAAATAGAACTGTGATTTTCTTTAAAATACCCATTTACTTCACCTTATTTTACATTAAATATTTTTTCGAAGAATAAAATAGTAAGCTAAAAAATTAATACCTTCTCTTTTGAAAGGAAAAATTCTATCAGAATAAGAACCGAGTACTTACTATCCATTAAAATAAAATTTAAAAAACATGTGTCTTCAAATTTTTCGTGTAATGCGTTTTGGATCGCCATTAGCTTTAAAAGTAAGTTTTAATCTTTTCGGATGAATTCAATAAAATTTTTGTTATTTCTTGGGAAAGATAGGTTTAAATCTGGATATTGAAGAGGTAGTTTGAGTATTCCAGACAATTAAAATAGCAGCCAAATGCTTGCGATTATGGTCTTGACAGAATTGGGAGTTATCTTCTATGCTGATAACTTCATACTTAATTTTGATATACGTAGGCTGTTTGAAAAATTTCCGACCTAACAAAGAAAAAGATATTTTTTCTCCAAAATTACCTTTATTTTTCGACATAGTCTCCCTTATAAGTCTACATATTTCTTCCAGCAAGGCTCCCATCCTTTTAACCTGCCCAAATAACGTGTGGAATCTTTCTCTGTAAAGTCTCCTTTTTTGACAAAAATCTTTGCCCTCCAAGTGCTTCTTTTAGCTTAAGGAACGAAAAAAAGTCACTTGGTGCCGGGTCTGGCGAATAAAGCGGATGGCCAAGCAGATTTATGGATTTTCGCCATTGCAACCGCTGAGGCGTAAGATGAAGCATTGTCTTAGTGAAAATTTTTTTTTCTTTTGCAAATGTGGCCGTTTTCTGTCAATTTCAGCATTTAGCTTGTCAAGTAAAGTTGCATAGTATGCTCCGGTAGTGGTTTTCCCTTTTCAAGATAATCTATTGAGACAATCCCATGGCTGTTCCATAAAACTGTTGCCATCACTTTCCCAGATGAAGGAACAGTTTTTGCCATTTTGGGAGCCGATTCTCCCTTTGCAGTCTACTGTTTTCTCCTGTGTTTGGGGGCTAAAATGATGAAACCAGGTTTCATCTGCAATGATTAATAGTCGAAAAAACTCAAATTT